TAAAATACAATTACATGTTAATAATATAATTGAAGTATAAAACGAGATTGACTATAAAAAAATTATGACGTACCAAGTGACGAGCACAGTGATGACGACATGAATGATGTATTTCCTTTTAAATAATAATCATTTTTATCCTGTGCAACTTCAAAGGTCATAATCAGTGACGTTTACTAAACTAACAGGAGTGACGTAATTAACAGAGGATGTAAGTTACCGCATGGAGTTTGAATAAGTGTCCCAACCGGAAAGTACGTACATTTAATTCATACGGTAAATGTTGTTCATCGTATTTATTTGATTAATAATGACAATTGATTCAATTAAATTTTGTTAAATACATTTATTTTGTGCCAAACGTTAACAAATCTAATTTAAATTTTATTTTGATTATTATAATTACTTATCAGTAAAACTAAGGAGTTTAGACTTTGGTCTTTAAAAATTTGAGTCTCCGACAAATTTTATATTGTATAAAGATTTATAATGATTAACACAATCATACCAATTATATGAGAGAAATTAAGTTTTAACCATCTTTTTCGAAACGCTCGAGGTTTATAGAAATGTAACTAACAAATGCAGTTTTCACCCGAATTGGTCCAATATATAATAAAAACATTAGTAAATTTCTTTTGATATATATTTTTAGGTAGGATTCATAGTTTCTATAGGCCATGTATATGATTGTTTGTAGAAGTCATTTTCGGATTTAGCATTATAAAAATTACATATTTTTATAAAAAGTTACAGAAATAATATGTCGCTTAAGTAAACGTAATGAATACTAAAATAATATATTATGTTTATAAACATATTATGAGCTAATTAATTATTTATAATAATGACTCAAGTAAATTTAAACATCATTATTCAAGTGCAGCATATGATCATAGAACTTTTTAATGTTTAGCATGAGACTATACGTGACTATACAGATTAAAACTTATTTTAAAATAAAGTAGCATATTTAAAAACTTACTAATATGTTTATTTACTTATTTATATTTCAAAAACAGCATATAACAATAGAACCGTTTGAACATTTGTACTGCAAATATTTTACACATATGTTTTTTAACGTGCTTTTGATCATATTTTAATACGTGTAAATGTTTTATTAATAATAGTTAATGTCGTAGCATAAATTTTCCTAGGTTAGAAACAACTGTATTTACAGAAAATGATATTGGGGACTTGCATGTAGGCTAGAATGTTTTTAGATACCCAAAATTTGTGGTAAATGTCTTTAAGTTAATATTTATTATACTAAAAAAATAGAAGCGATCAGCATTAAAATACTTAATATGCATCATGCAGTCTTTTAAAATAATCGCGTTACTAATGTCAAGCTGTGGCCATTAACTAACCTTCCGTACAAATTTACACTGTCTGTCGGCTGAAAATAACAACATACACTTCAAAAAAGAAGCATCTGTCCATTAGACGTTAATTTAAAATAATTTATGATGTAAACACATCATGAATTTTTTTCATTAGGCTTAGCATATCATATTTACTTTAAAAATGCAGTTAAAATAATTCAGTTTCCTTAACTAATTTTTAAAAGTTATGCAGCAATACATTTCTTAAAAACATTTTTACAGTACATTTTCAAATCAATTTTGAATGGAATAAATTAAATAAAATATTAATATTCCTTATAAATACATAAACAATACATATTTTTTAAACTCAAAGAACTTTTTTCTATGTGTCATTTTTTGTAAAACATCTAAAGAATAATTTTACTAATTTCAATTTTCAAGATGACAAAATTGAAAAGATGAAATTTTTATTTTCTCTAACTTATATCAACAAATTTCGTTATAAAAATGAAATATTTATTTAACAACATACTACTAATACTTTATAGTTGACGCATCATTTTTTTTGATATTATTTGTAATTTTTCAAATTTTTAGTAGTTATGTCAATAGTATGATTGAAAAATGTATTTTATTATTGTTATAATAATTCACCGACTGAAGTTCTAGTACAAGTTCTCATTAATTTAACATTATAAATGTCGAAACCATCTTTGTTGGTTATATTATTCTTATTAACCCTGTAATAATGAACATTTTATTTTTGAAGTATGTTCATGATCAAACTACTGCCATACAGTCACAATAATACTCATACCACAATAACAACAATAGTTCTCAAAAATAACTGGTGTGCAGTCACAATTATTTAATATAAAACATAATATAACATCATTGTTCATATGTAAATTTGAAACAACATGCGATCAAAACTGATTGTATGTGAAAGTACCTGTGCGTATTTTTTTATTTAATTTAAAGTGATTCAATTATATAGGATATTGTAATTCCTATTTGAAAAATGAAGAAAAAAATGGAAATATTCTAAAAAATATTTAATAAGTAGTTTAATTTTATGATTTAAATTTAAAATAAAAAAATCATATTACTTATACGTAATATGTTTTCGTAATTTATAAATTAAAAAAAAAATTAAACAAGCATAACTACCATTTTATTTTAAAATAGAAAAAAATGTTAGTCATACCACAATATATATCTAGAAATAACATTTTTAAACTATAGAAATCAACTATAGAAGATTCGTGATTAATAAGCGAGGTAAAATGAATTAAATATAATATGCAATTAATTCTGCAATTCTGTCAATGGACTGCGCCTCACCTCAGTCTATGTATTAAACTGGTAATAACTTTCAAACAATAGGTCAAATATTGTTATTGACCAGTCATTTTTTTTACTAGATCATTTTTTATTTTATAAATTAGTTAAATATTAATGTTGTCATAAAAAAAAAAAATTGACACTATTAAGGTACAAGAAATGAATTTTAAGAATAACTAATAACTGATAAATCAAGAAATAAAACAAACTAAAAGATACCAAAAATAATTTACATGACATAATTATTTTTTCAAAAGAAATCGAGTGGCTAGCCTTAAATTATTGCCTTGTATATAAAGGATGCCCCACCATGTTCTCACATATCTAATAACTTTAGATCCAGCAAATATCTAACGTTACTTTTTTTAAAATAATTTTTACAGTCTTGAATTACGTTTAAAATTGAATTTTTACTACGTTTACCTAATAAAAAATTTAATTAATTTTTTATACAATTTTAAAATAGCCATTTTTTAGGTGTTTTCTTTCGAATTTTTTGTTGAATCTATAACAACTTTAGGATAGGTACATATGAATTAACTATGTGTATTCGTTGCGCTACATACTGACTATGTGTATTAAAATGTTTGCAATTCAATACGTACCTTATTTTAAAGTTGTTATTGAAGCATAAAAATTTTTGTAAGAAGACATTTTTATATCCGACGAACATAGATATAAATTGGTCTACAATAATTTTTTTTCAAATAAATTTAAAATATAGTATAATAACTTTGCATTATTTGTAGAGCAAAGTAAATTAAATTACTTTCAAAAAAAAATTATTTTAAAATATTAATTTTTACTACCCCTAATCATTTAAAAATGATAAAAAAAGTATTCTACCGCGGTCGTCGATTATTTCATACTCGTTTTGTTACTGGATTTTATAACTTGTTCGTCATACCACGATCCGTATTATGAACTTGTTCAGAGGGTGACAAGATTAATTGTATAGATAAAATGACATTGACATTGACCTATGACTTAGGTCAAAAATGTCAATATTAATCTTATTCATACGCACGTTTTAATAATTTACCGAGTGCTTGTTTTACTCTCATTCTACTTTCACTGCCGAATTCACTATGAATGATACTGATTTTCTATCATTTAAAAATAAATACAACTTTTTGCGTTTTATGTATATAATACATTTTTATGGACTTATTTCAGTATGTGTTTAAAAAATACTAAACCAAATAAATATCAAAAATCGCCATATGCTAAATTTATTATATTACATCAGTGATGGGATAGAAAGCGTTCATATGAATATGCTCATCGTGAGCGCGTCATTGACAAACGCCTAAAATTCAACTCGTGTCGAATTTGAGATGAACAAGGGAAATGCGACGCAGTCTACTAGTCAACATGATGCGAGCGGTTCACTCATACTGATCCTCGGCCTGGGCGGATATCTTTGAGTATTCGCTCAAGAACAAGGAAATCCTCCTCAGGATTGACAGGCGGGCGGCGATTCGGACAGTTTCGGATTGCCAAACGGTGACGGAGTGGAGACCGGCATTTCGTCGTCACAGCCGCCCGCCGATTTGCTGGTCTCGGCCAGCCACCGGGAGCTCGTCACGAAAACTAGCTAACGCTTCGGTGAGACTGTGTTCTGTCGGTGGGTGCGTCTCCAGGGAGTTCGGACCGAAGCACAATACGGTAGTGTACGTTTTAGAAACGGTGTGAAGTAATGCCCAACAGCAATTCTAGGCTTACAGAATAGCTGATTAGTGTAAAAAAATATATATTTTTAAATAATTTCAGTGAGGGTTCAGACCTCTCACAGATACGGCCTTGCCCCATAGCAACAATAAATACATGGTAAAGTTATAATTTTATTCAGAGGAAATACAGCAGTCCAACAAGTAGTGAATTTTTATTATATATGCCCCACTCCATATTTACGCTACAAATCACACGTTTTCGTAATTCAACGTTATTATCATTATTTGTTATATGATAATAAGATATCGATTTAAATTTATGTTTTTTCTCATTACTCAGATAAATCTAGAATGGTTTAGCAATAAGAATTGTATTCATTTAATTAAGTCAACATAATGCGTTTTCTTTATAATTTTTACTCACATATATGATTTTTAACAATGTTGTTGTATATTTTTATTTTTAATCAGCTTTCGCCAATACAAAATAAGAGAATAAACCATTGTTATTTGTATTAGATAATCTGTCTACTTGCTATTATAACTAATTTAAATCATTCAGCTTTTAATCCTTTATCTTTTACTCAGTAATACGCATTTAACCTTGAAACTGAATGCTTTTCTTCTCCGCAGAAAAAAATCTTCGACATAAAAGTGTTAATACAGTAACATGTAGTTGTCATTTAACCTCGTACGTTTATGCTTTATTTGTATTTTGTATAGTTTTAACCAAGAATTGTGTTTCGCGACGAATCCAGTTTTATAACAACAGCTATCGCAATACATCAACATATTCTTTGTGGTCTATGAGTAGTCATGCGAACATTTCGTTAATGTGTTAGTTTATAGTTAAAACCACTATTGTTCGACGTTTGATATTTGAATTTTTTTTTGTTTTGTAACATACGTCTTTGCCCTAACGTCACATCTGAACTATAATTTCAATAAATATATTATATGGGTCGTATTTGTATATTGTGGACATGTGTCGAGTTCGCGAAGGCTATCAAAATCAAAACATACCTTTGTAAGTTAACAGTATCTTTTAAATGCTAGAAATATGGCGAAATATGAACTAATTATTTTCATTATTTATCTTGATACATAATTATTTTTTATCATTGTTGGTGTGCTGTCGATTTAACTATTGACAAATACCATTAGTAGTGCTACCAACGCAATATAATACGTGGATACATACTGTTATTTGATAATGTTTATTGTGAACAAGTTTTAACAAATAGTTAATTTAGAATACATTTCGGCAATTTCATTTTAATTTATTATTGTTTAAATTTTTTCTATTCAGTTAAATTTTTTTGACTCTGTTGAACCTATAGAGCAACAAAAATAAATATATTTATTTGGGATAGGTATAATATAACTATGTGTAATTGTATTATTATTGTACAATAAGCTTTCCATAAGATTCTCATAACCCCTCCAAAAAATATATAGACATAGAAATTGTATTATTGAGAAATACAATTAAAAATTTGTATGAATCCCATCAAATCATGCTATGAAATTTATAATATATAGGAAATATTCTATGAAAATTGTACTTTTCGTATACAGCACATTAATTTAAACTAGTAAACTAGACGACACAAAAATCAACTCATGATACATTTTTGTAATCCAGTTGATTTTATTTTTTACCTTTTCCTCGCCAACTGGACAAGAAACATCATCGAAAAAATTTTTTATCGTACTGAACTGGCTATTTTTGTCACTTACTGGGGATTTGTTAAAAATACATTGTTTATATACGAAAATAACGTATCCTTTACGTATTAATAATTTCTTACTGACGTATGCATGAATTATTATGTATTATTTCTTATAGGAAAAATTAAGAAATTTATCTTTTACATATGTTATCAGTTAATTTGAATTCAAACAATTTTCATTAAAAAAAAGACTAGTAAACGTTATGAAAACGTAATCAAAAACAATAAATGAAATATTAATAAGCGTAAAATATTGTTAAACGTAAAACTATTTATAACGTAAAACAATTCCTACTAAAAAAAAATATTGAATTACTGAGCACACTGAGGTCGCGGCATATTTGGAATAAGTGACTTTGGATTAAATTATATAATTATTATATATTGTTATATTATTATATTATCGTGTAACAAGTTAACAACCCTTTCACTTAGTATGATTGAATTTGGAGAGCCTATTCGCTATTAGCAAGTAGGTATGTCCACGTCGACCGGTTCCAACTAACCAAAGTCATATAAGAGCAAGGGTATATGTTACTACCCCTGCTGAGCATAACTAGAATCTGCGACATTATAAAGCCCGTGATTCTTGCATATCCTCCTGTAAAAAACAGTAATGCTTAAGAACAATTAATTATATCAACCATAATAATGTTTTCTTCGTCAGCGAGCAAAATTCATTGTAATATATTTTTCATATTATTAACCACTGTATTGATTACATCACTAGATAAATTGTAGGAATTTTATTTTTGACTAAAGGATTGTACTTTCCCATAATTATTAAATATGCTTCTTTTCCATTAGCCACCTCTTTTCAATTACATTTATATCATTCCAGCATACACATTTAGAATTTTATTTTAAAAACACAATAAGATAAAGATACAAATAAGAACGCATTTGTCTTGAACAATTTTCAAAAATTAAAATTAAGTAATCATTTTTGTTTTGGCGGCCAATTTCTCATAGAACATTTGTGAGATAGATTTTTTTTAATATTGTAGTACATTTATAAATAAATTTGATATAGGTTTAAAGAACGCAGTTATTCCAGTCTTTTATTTAATACTTCCTGTACTTTAATTAGATTTTCAATTATAGCACATTAAAAGAAGAATTATTGTGTTTTTATTTATTTCATTATAAAGAAGTCATAGAAGGCTTTAATTTCATATAGGTTTGAAGAACGCAGACGTTCCGAAACATTTTCGAAAATTGAAAATAAAATAGTTTTTTTTAAAATTGCTAATTTTTTATTTTGATAACCGATTTTCTGTAGTAGAACAATCATCCAGACCATTTTTTTTTAGTAGTATACTTATGATCTCTAATTTGATATTAGTTAAAAGTTATTAGACCTTGCGGAATATTTTCAAAAATTGAATTGAAAAAAAATGTTATTATGATAAATTAAAAAAAAAAAAAAATTATAGTAATTTTAAAATGCAAAAAAAAAGTTTTGAAAATTTCGTTTTTTATGGTAATACAATTTTGAGATATTTTTAAAATTTTTGAAATTGAGAGGTTAAAATTATGTTTCTTTAAGGTGTTATTTATTTAAATCAGTCCAATGAAAGCTGACAATTTTCATAGATAGACAGAAAAGCATACAGACCACCACAAAATCAATACTTACTCAGCTTTACATCGAAGCTAATGAGTTTTATGTAAGAAAAAAGTAGTTACTTGCTCCATATATTAACTGCTGATTATGGTAGTGAATTATTCTTCAAACAATTTTGACTTTGAATGTAAAAATATAGTAACGTGTTTTAACGTTAAACATAAAAATTGTACAACGCTTAAATATTGAATAACGTTAAACTCAATCATAAGATAACATTATAATATATTTAAACATTGACCAAAGCAAATATGTAATCCAACTTCTAATTATAAATAAATATTTTTATTATTGTCTTTAAAAATTTACTGTATAAACTTAAACGATTATCAAATCTTAAAATTGAGTTTATGAATATTATATTTATATTTGTAGTTGTCATTTAAATGTCAATACTTTGATAAAGGTTTAAGGTTAATAGAGAAGACTAACATTATATGTTAAAGTTCATGTATTGACTAATAAGGAATATACTTACTTTTTATGAATAATTGCTTATAATAGCAATTATGTTGACCATGCTTTCCTAGTCTATTTACAAAATAAAATTTTACTAAATATATTGAATTCAAAATAAAACGTATTAATATGTGGCTTCTCAAATATAAATGTAGATATTAATTTCTCTTCAATATTGTTATTATACCAACTACTATCTAAAAGTTTAATTCACACAATTAAAAGTTGTTCATTTAATTAAAAAAAAGTAATATAAAACAATGATTATGTATTATTATTTATTATACATAACATTGATTCTTAAAAACTTATTATTTTATTTATTTTGTTTGTTCTAGTTTTGGTAGTTATGTGCTTAGTAGAGTCAGGAAAAATACCTCATTTACAAAGCATTGGTTTTTATTGTGGTGATCCAAAAATCAATTTTGCGTACAAGGGAGATACTGTGAAACCACATGTTCTAATATTAGTAACACTTGTTATTCCCTTTATAGTGGTATGTCTTCTTTACAGTTTTTCAATAAATATGCATTTACCAAAGAAATAAAATTTTACATGTAATTATTACAGACAACTTCTGCAGAATTTTTAGAAAAAGAAAAAAATAAGTTTGATTCGGGCCATTACGAATGGCTTAAGGAATCTTTACGATGGTATCGCCAATATATTTTAGGTCTTATATTCGTATTTTTTATTACTGATGTCGGAAAAATTTTGATTGGTGAACCTAGGCCTCATTTTTTGGACACGTGTAACCCCATAGAAGCTGTTAACTGTACTAAAAACAGGTAACCAACTGTTTATATATTACTTTTTTTAACTTTTTACACAAAACCTACTAACCATAAAAATCCTTTATCATTTCTGGGCGTTAGTTTTAACCTTCCTTTAACTGCTTTACTATATATCAATCAGGTATTCCAAAATCCTTTCATGGTACTGTCTGTGCTACTAGTGAATAAATCTTATATTAAAGATGATTAATAGTCCTAACATCTCCACAATATTCGAACTTATTAGATTTACAAAGTGATTATTATCTAAATAAAATTTATAGTTTTAACAAGATGTTAATATATTTTTTTAGTTATATGTATCAATATCACTGTAACAATGAAAAAATAAGTGAATACATTTTACAAGATGCTAGCAAATCTTTCCCATCGGGCCATGCTTCGATATCTGTTTATGGATCAATATCCTTAGCGGTAAGTGTACTTCATTATAAGTAATTGATACATTCCGTCACTAAAGATGCAACAACATCTATCTCAGTTTTATTAACTTTATAGGAGAGTAAAAAAATAATTTATAAACTACTAAAATTGCGAGGAAAAATTCAAAAAAAGGCTTCCCAAAAATGATCAGTTTCTCATCCTTTTATTTCTCTAACTTAACCTACTACAGAAGGTGGCAGTCCTTTTTCACATGCTAGGGAGTCAAAGGTGGTTCTTGGCTAAGCCAATGATGTACGGGTCAAGTATTATGGTCGGCTCTATCAGAGACCAGACACCACTAATAAGAAAGTCACAAGAAAAATTTCATTGATACCTTAGAGAGATCAAACCCGGGACCCCGTACACCGAAACATACGTTTCTACGCATTACGCTAGGCCAATCCCCCAAAAGAAATTGTTTGTGACATATAAATATTATTTATAGGACAACAAAATCTTAAATACACCCCCTTATGAGATAAATGGTGCAATATTTCTAATTTTGTTTCTTTTGTAATAATTTATTATGTCATTATAATAATTAAAGTAAAAAAAATGGCTTATTTAAACTTGGAGTATTTTAATAGATGCAATAAAAATAGTTTATTTGAATCTAAATTTAATATCCTATCTATCAAAAATAGTTTTACATTATATAATACATACAGGTGCACACTGGGTTTATTTTTTCTACCGAGAAACTATATATCGCTAGGGTCCACTTTCCAAGACGTATTTATGATTTTGATACTCCAGGTAAAGTTTTATTATCGCTCTTACATACCGCCCCCCCAAAAAAATATTTTTATCATACCCCGTATTATTATCTATGATTTTACGTTATTAACTTTTGATAATATTATCATGAAAAATAAAAATCGCTGTGTAGCCGCTATCCAAAATATTAGATTATTTACGCAACGGAAATATTACAAATATCTTATTCATACATCTCCCTAACGAGTATAATGAAAAAAATAAAGTTAAATTTTAGCTGGTTAAACTTAAACAGGAGTTGAATCTAACAAAAAAAAAAAAAGTTGTCAAAAGACGGTATACCGGAACACGTAAGACGTCAAAAACTCCAGGGAACGTTCACCGTTGGCGAGATCGGTGGTCGGCCCCGTAGATAGACTTAGCACCTTAGCTATGTAGTGGGATACTTTAATCAAGTTGGACTCGCGATGTAAAAAGGCGGCTGATGAGAGAAAGAAGGTATTCGTGTAAAATATACGGTGCTCTGTCAATACATGTAAAAGGAAATTTATCAATTTCCGTCACTCTGCTACTGGGTAAATTGCATTTTAAGATTCAACATCAAGAACAATTAATAGATATTAAAAACATAACTAAATAATTATAATCATAATTACTGATCAAAGAATTTTGAACTCAAAATTTGTAAAAAAAAATCACATTAGCCAAATGATACTCTGATGGTTAATTATCATCCAACTCTTCGATCTGACGGTGTCAACTCTCCCGTTAAAATATTAAACTATAAGTTTATAATTAAATTGTTTTATTTGAATTAATTTTTAGTGGTATTTGCAAAATAAATGTAAGATTGGTTCATTACTGTTGGTACCAGTACTGCAATCCATATGCATACTTTGGGCTATTTTTTGTTCACTTACACGCATTTCAGATCACAGGCATCATTGGTGGGATGTTCTTGCAGGTTCAATTATAGGGATTTCAATCACCATGTATATAGTAAGATTTTTCAATTTTTTTAAAAATATATCTTTCACTATTAACGCTATAAAACACTACATTTTTCTAGAATGGTTTATTTAATAGACGAAGAAATAAAGTTAAATCTACTACAGAAACGTGGTCTAACGAAACAGCGGACAACGGTTACCTAACAGGAAGACTTATTAATGTGGTAACTGAAGACAAAAATCAATCACCTAATTTATAGTTGTTCGATTAACTTATTTCAATATTATACTTAATATTGATAATAAAATCTTTACTCAACGCAATAACAATCGACAAGTAAAAAAAATCTTGTGAATGCCTCCTATGCATTTAATGTATCTATTTATTAAGTTAGTAAATTTGTATTATTGTGTATTTAACATCATAGAAATATGAGTATATATACTTTATTGTTACTATTGTTAATCTTTTAAGATAGTATTCCAAGTTAGTGACTAAATTACGCACATCTGTTTTTATATTATGTAAAAATTTGTTATACATTTTTCTTTGTATATTTCTTTTGATTAAACTAAATTAAGTTGTAGTAGTGGTTACATGTATGTACAATTTTTGATGAATTCAACTGCCTAAATTTTAATATAATTATTTTTTTAAATAAACATTAATTTAAATAAATTAGACATAATTGCTTCGAATTTCGTTTTGCAGAAGGTATAAAGATTTATTTTAATTTAATCGGAGCCATAATCCAGAAATGACAAAGAATAACTTTAAAACACAAACGTTATTTTGAAGAGTGAACCCTAGAAATGTTTAATAGTAAAAATAAATATTGAAATACCAAGATACTGGATCAAATTGATATTGTATGTAATACATCGCCATTAGAAATATTGAATCCTTAATAAGGAAAATGGATGAATAAAAAAAACACGCCAAGATTGAATAATTGAGAAAACATTTAAATAAAAAAAAAACCAATATTTTTTTATAGTTTTTAATACATAGTATTATTGTACTTTGACAATTATATTTTATCAGCAACTATTTTTAAAGAGCAGTTTTTAGAAATGGTTTTGAGGGTATATGAAATCAATATCGAGATGATAAGGTATGAAGACTATAAACATTTTTCGATTAATCAAGTGGTTTATGATAAAAATCGCCTGTATAGCGCTTAGTACTTCAGTCAAAATTTTCTAAGCCTTCTCTCAACTATCATTTCAAATATGCAGAAGTTAATTATAAGCTGTATTGCATAAAAATAATGTAACATTACTGGATAATATACATTAAAACTATTTTTACTTGTAATAAATGTAGTTCTATTTCTGATGAAGAATTTCGAAAGTGTTTCCCTAAGAATTCAATATTACAATATAGAAAAATGACCACATATGAAATACAAAGTATTTACTAGTAAAAATAAAAAAAATAAAAATCGTATATTGTTTTTACAATATAATTGTCAGTATATTACAATAATATCAAATACAAATCACATTATTTTTTTGATGCAGCATTTTTCTTCTTAATTTCAGCAAATTTAGTTTTCAATGCCAACTTTTTTTCTCTTCTTTCATTAGCTCTAGCAATCTGCTCTTCAGTGGACAAATTACCTTTTAATGCGTATTTTTGATTCCTTAAGAATTTTTGGCATACCTATAATCAATTATAATTGATCTTAACATTAATACCTATTAATTTCATTAAATAATTGTAAATTTTATATAAGGAATACAACTTAGAACTAAGTTAGCATAAACTGTATACTTTTCATAAAGAAACAAATTAATTTGTTTACTTGACAACAGGTAAAATAACAATATTAGTTTAATCATTAAATTTTGATTTATTTAAAAAAAATATTGTTAATGAGATATTATTAGTTAATTAAATAAAAAATATAGGTATTAGTTTAAAAACCATGAAAATATCATTCAGAAAAATTAAAATGTGGTTTCCAATACTTTCAAAAACAATATTTACTAAAAAAATTTAAGGAAAGTTTTAGCATACAAAAATTTTAATTTAATTAAGATTAAATGTTTCCTCTGTAAGAATACTTGTAAGGAAAATAAATTGTTTTATTACATGTAATTTTCTTTAAAAAATTTTCTCTCGTATAAAAATAGTTTAAAATGTTGAGCTACAATTATTCAGAGCTAAATCCAATTATTTCGCTTAAAAAAATTACTTCTTATTCTACTAAAATAATATGAGAGAATACAAATATTTATTGTTTGAACAGCTTAGTTTAATCATAACTTACACCACGACGAGATTCATGCCTAAATTTCTTTGGCCTTTTAATACCATTACGATGATCCTTGCGGTCTATAGAAATATAGTTTAACATCATTACATTAGTAAAAGAATAAAGCCTGTTTTGAAAAACAAAAGTAATGCTTACTTTGATTATGATTTGTATGATTCTTTGACTTAGCCATAGCTGTAAATCCTACAAAAATACATAGTAAATAATAATAATTTAGTTAAATAAAATTCATATTTCACATTAATACATTTGAACTAGAAATAGAATACTAAACTACGATTAGAAATACGACTTTTAGTAAATACAGTCCCATTAAACACAATAATAGAAAAAGAAAATTTCTGGTTAAATAAAGAATTGCAACTATGTAACCACGTAAAAAAAAATTAGTCCAATTATTCTTATATAGATACACAATATCTATAAAATAATTTTTTAATACATCTTATGTTAAAATAATTTTTGAACATTAATAAGGTTGTAATAGTCCAACAACCATGTGACAATATAAATTATCGAGTATATGTATTAGATATTATACTGAATTAAAGAATTTAGACAATCTAAATACATAATAAATTCGATATATATTTTAAAAGTAATTAGAAGTTTAATATAAATAAGATATTACCTCTAACACAAAATTGGAATTAAAAGCACACAAAAATACTAGTTTTAAAAGACACGATGTTAAATATCAACTACTTATGACGCCATTTCTAAAATAATTCATGATAGTGAATAGTGATAATAAGTATTTTACAAGGAGTTTAAAAAATGTATTTTTAAAAATTAATTTAAAAATTTTTTATTTTAATTATAAACTTAAATTAATTAATTTAAGATCATATAAAGTTAATATTATAGTAAGTTAATACAAATACATAGAAAAATAGCTATAAAAGTTTTACATGTTATATTTGTTATGTACTATCATATGATAGGTATCTTACAATTTTATATATTGTAACTTTTTCAACACTGGTATCGACCGTCATAATAATAATAGTCTTTCTATAATCTATAAAAGTGTTCATGTTTGTCTTTTCTGATAAAAATTCTGTGTAAAAATCAATTTTATAGTGTTATGTAGTAAAATTTTGATATTGTAATTTATTTTACGTCCAGACTGATTTATATTTATTCTTGTTCAGAAAAAGATTTATACTGAATTGTTGTTTTCTATTTAGTAGTTATTACTAATTAACAGTTTTAATAGGTTTTGTGACACCAGTGTAAATATTTTTTAGCTTGTTATCAAATTATTTAAGTGAAACATTATAAGCATTCGAGGCGCCAAAAACTAAGCAGGATGGCGTCTTTGCCTTCCCCTAATGATGTAAGACTAATTATTTAAATTATTATATAAAAACAAAATATTTATTTACTTTATATTTGAAAAACATAAAATATTCCTTTTTGTTCCAAGCTCCACCCTAAAAATAAACGTATTTATTACAGTTGGAAGTTGATTTTTTTTTTATTAATTACGTTATTATAATTTAATTTGATAAAAATAATTTACTTTTATTTATATTCTTTAAATATTTATTGTAAGATGATATTTTTTAATTACTCAAAACAAGCACTATTCTCATTAAATGAAAAAAGATTTTTATTGGTATAATTTTAAAGTAAACATGCTATGTCAATAAGTTCATACTAATTTTCATTATTGTCTTGAAGTGATTTATTATATAAATAATGGTAACAATAATTATTGATATTACAATTAATTACCTATTTTTTTTTTAATTAAAGGAAGCAAAATGCTTCAAAACTCATAAGTATAAGGATAATTTTTTCTAACACTAAGTAATATAGCTTATGATTCTTTAATCAAATACCAAATAGTATTAGCGTGTGTGGTACTCTTACCTTTTGTTTTGTAAATGTATTAATATATACAGTGAAACCTCCTTTCAACAGTCCCTCTTATGGAGTAAATCCTTTTTTAAGCGGAAAAAAGTAAGATCTGCAGCGTTTTCATTGAAAGAAAGTTCCTTTGTACCTGTAAAAATATTAATAACTGTATTTTATTTTTGATATAATGAGTATGAGTAGACTGACTGAACTGTTTTTATTATGCTTCAATATTATATAAAAAAAGAGTTTCTCAACTTTTTTGCATGACTATTTTTTTATTAGAATCGAAATTTTTTTAGTAACCACACCATGTGTATTATCATATATAAATCATATTTTAGTAATAATAAGTTCAAGAACCCCCACCTGAAAAACATTGATGTCCAAATCTAATTAAATTTTTAAGTCCTTCAAAAAATAGTTATATTTTGATAAAATATTCTTTGTAAATAAATATTTTGTATATGGCTTTGTGCTTATTACAATTTAACTTGCTACCATCTCTAAATATTTTTATTTGTAATTATAGGTAGCTGGTAATCATTATCCTATATACGACGCTTTCTATAATATGGTAAGTAATGACTCATCAGCATTAACTTATTTTTTATTTATTCTATAGTCGAAGACAAAAATAAATGTTGTTGACCAACACTCACTCTGTAAAATCCCACTATAGGTTGGTAAAAAGACTGAAAGCAATGAAATTTTGGTATTTTCGTTAGAGTTTGTTACTTAAAATTTCTTCTAGGGGCAGAATCTTTATAGAAAAGATGTCTATAACTATAATTTAAATAATTAATATATTATGAATGTAAATGATTTATAACTAAGGAATCATTTATTGTATTATATTATTATCACTTTTTTCATTTTAAATATTTAGGTTGATCCTACAAACAAAGGTAATGTTGGTGCAATAGACGCAGCAAATTTTCTAAAGAAATCTGGTCTATCTCAAGTTATACTTAGTCAGGTATCATTAAATATATTTTTCTACAATTTTTTATTAAACTGATTTAGTTAAGAATACTTAAAATTTTGTCTGTGACTTATGTCTAAAAAAGCCAATTTCCAAAAAAAAATTAAAATCTCTTTTTTCAATAAATACTATAGACAAACAAAATATGTATTCTATATAATTTAAGTTTTTCCTTTTAGAAAATAATTTTCCAAGAAAATTTAAATCCCATTGTCAATATATTTAATTTTTCTTTAGTGTTAATTTGAAAAATAAAAAATAAATTTTCTATTTTTGTTGATTGGCTTTTTTAAATACCAGTTCTAGATTTGATTGTAATGCACTGTGCATTAAGAGAGGATGAGGGAGATAAATCTTCCAAAACTAAAATAATTACACCTCTAATAATGGTTAATATCAGTTTTCTTAATTGATAAAGATATCCTTTGTGAGTCATATGATGGTTATTTTGATATGATTAAAATCTTAATAATATTATTACAAAAAAAATTATTTTAATACATTTTTAAAAATTTGTTATATATTCAAAGATATGGGACTTATCTGATCCAACAGCCAATGGTTTTCTGACAAAGCCTGGATTCTTTGTAGCCCTTAAATTGATAGCATTAGCTCAAGCTGGACAAAACCTATCAATAAGCAATATTACTCAACAATTACAACCACCCAATATGGTATTAAAAAAAAAACTAAGAATTTGTTCATTATTCACAATTTGTAATTATTTAATTTAGGGAGAAGCATCAAAATTAGTTGCAAACAAAGTTTCAGGTTTAGTAACCCCTTCTTCTAATATAAATGACTGGTCAATGAAACCTGCTGAAAGATTGAATTATGATAAAATGTTTGAATCTTTAAGGCCTTTAAATGGAACAGTATCTGGAGATAAAGTAAGGATTTATTTTATTACAAATCTAATTTATTTTTAGTGACATTAGTCTTTGAATTTATTAATATTCATGTATAAATTTGATTTGAGCCTCCTATTAAAATAATTCCTGTAATCATCTTCTAATATTCCTTCTTGGGGTATTAGTAGTGTAGTATATAAAGTATTAGTATATGCACTACTTATTAACTATTTAAATTAGATTACTCTAGATTAATAATTTTCATAATGTAATACTTCATTCTTCATTGTATAAAACCGTAGTACTAAACAGATATGGATATTTTAAATGTTGAATTTCACTATTTATTATTTCTTAGGTCAAAGGATTACTGATTGATTCAAAGTTATCAGTTGATACATTAGGTAAAATTTGGGATTTAGCTGACATGGATAAAGATGGTAAATTGAATCAACATGAATTTGCAGTGGTATGTAAATTTGTTTTATTGTTATCAAACTGTAATTTATTAAATAATTACTAGTTAAATAATATTTTCTTACAGGCAATGCATTTAGTTTACAAGGCTTTAGAAAAATATGCAATACCCGCTGTTTTACCTGCAGAGCTTTTACCATCTACTAAAAGAAAAACATCTATTGTAACAGCCTCACCTATTCCAATATTACCAGTGCTTCCGTCATGCACTTCTAATAATCTAGTCAAACAACTTCCAGTAGTAATAACACTTAATGTTTCATAGTTCAAAGTTTCCTAATTTAATTATTGAAAAATAGTTTGTTAAGAGATTGCTACACTTTAGCCCTAGAACATTACTATGCTAAATGTTATATTTGTGGGAACTTAGAAAAAACATACTAGATACAAATTTCTAAGAAAACAAAATCAATCACAATGCAATTTTTAATTTTATTTGTGATTATATTAGTTTTAATAATTTTTAAAAATAATTTTTTTTACTAGTTCCTTGTCATCCTTTAATTAATTTTCAAAGTAAATTAAGTTTTTAATGATCTTTTTCTTACTTTTTTTTTTGTCACTATTAAAAAAGACTTTTCTGTTATGGTGTAAATCCATAAATAATATTCTCATTTTCCTTATCTTACCTTAATTAGATTAAGAATGATTATAAAAGTTTATTAAAATAAATTTTAAAGAATTTTATGAAAGTGAATGTAAAACAGTAATAATATAATTGTTTTACAAATTTAAACATTTTTGAACATATGGATAATTAACAAATTTATAATAATTGTAGATAATGTATTTATAGTAATGCTTATTACAAAATTTAATTGTGTAAAATGATAATTAACAGTTTTGTTCTTTTTTTGAAATGAATCAGGAATATAACAGTAAAGTCTTAAAAAGATCAATTTTTAACTACTAAGCTAATTTTTCAATGGGTACATGTCTCATCTTGCCTCTAATGTTTATCATGCACTTTTTAAAATACTAAAATTTTTTAACAAATAATTATTTTAAAATAATAACTATAATTAACAAGTGGTTGATTAAATATTGATGTCCTATCTAATTTTTTAATGTGCAATAAAGTTAGGTTGAATTTTGAATGAAAATATTTTAGGTTTTGAGTTAAAGTAATTGGGTGTGGCAAAGTTTATCCCAAGTTACATACATGTATTACCATTCTAAGTATTTTTATTATATTTTTAGCTATAGTAATTTATTTATTTATTATATTAGAGACCAATTAGTCCATCTACTGAAACACTAACATCAACATGGGTTGTTACTGCCGATGATAAATCTCGTTATGAATCTATGTTTATAGAATCTGACAAAGATTTAGATGGTTTCGTTTCTGGATCTGAAATCAAAGATAGATTTTTAAAAACTGGTATACCCTCATCAGTATTAGCTCATATATGGTAATAAATTATTAGTTATTTATTCATTGTTACTACTATTTATCATGGATTTATATTATAGGAGTTTATGTGACATTAAGCAACAAGGAAAATTAGATATAGATCAGTTCTGTTTAGCCATGTGGTTTGTTGAACGAAAATTAAAAGGAATTAATCCTCCTCATGAACTTTCTGCTGATATGATGCCACCAAGCTGTAGAAATAATAGTCAAAATAATACTACTATTGCAGTAAGATAATATAATTTTTTATCTTTATATTATCTAATCATACCTTTGTTATAAATGTTATTGAGTCCTTATAATTATAATTTCATTTATACATTTTAAAACTCAAAATAACAATCATACCAAATGCTAAATTATATATGTATATATTTATAGCTGCAAATATTTGGAATTATTTATTCATGAAAAAAATTGACTAATAATATGCTGCATCTTTATCAAAAAATACTTTAAATCCAACCCATAGAAATAATCCAATAATTGGAATAGCTCCATACAATAAGTACATATCTTCTTGAATACTTAATTTAAATTCTTTTATGATTTTCACTCTGACAATCCCAGCTAAGTAATTAAGTTGCCAACATCTAAATGTTATTAACACAAATTATATGTATTTTTATGTATTATATATAATTTACGTGAAAATAGTCTCATCTTTCTTAGTTATATTTTGAATAATTAATCTGTGTAATATGTCTGTATATATATGATCTTCAGCACTTTTAGAAATCAATGGTAAAATTGTTTTATTGTTTAATTTCCATACATAAGGTGCATCTGTATTCAAATTTCTTAAAATGAAAAATCATAACTTTTTAAATAAAAAATTTCTAAAACTTTTATATATTTACAGTGTTAATAATAAAAAAAACTGTGATACTTAATGAACTCTATATATTTGGTCATTAAAATTTTTATAACCAGCAATTTATAAAAAGTGAACAAGTAATGTAATCTTTTTATACAGATATTTAAAAGTTTTTTTTATTGTAAAATAATACAATAACTAATAACTTTTAAATTAATATGATTTTTTCTATCATTGACTTGTTACTTATATTGGTTAACCTTAACCTTAACCTTAAAACCTTAGTATAATGAGATTACGGAACAGTTGGGACGTGGCATAGTTGAGAAAAGTATGAGAGTTATCTAACACAAAATCACTCATAAAAAAAATTTGGATAGTATTTTACAGCGAAACTGTACATAATGCTTAATTTTTATAATGATTTATTGAATTATTTTAAAATCAACATGAATTCCTATTTCCTTAATTATATTAAGTATAATTATATAGTATTTAACTATGTTTAAAGGACGTAGTATATTTGGAATATTTTCAAAAGTTAACTTTTTATGAAAAAGTTGCTATTTTGAATCTTTTATGTAGACAGGTAAAGGATCAAGTTTTCAAAAAAAGTATATCAAATAAAAGAAAAATACCAAGGTTCTTATATATAAAAAAAAAAATAATTTTGATTTGTTAATTTTTCAATAAATTATGACCGTTTTAAGAAAAAAATTTTCAATTTTTAAGGGCAATGTTTACAACTAGATACAATTTGTGATTTTTTAACATATTGCTGAAAGAAATTGGTCCGTTTAGAGCTGAGAGATATAAAAAATAAATTAACACATATTAAATTTAGTATCCTCTCAGTGAAGCTGAGAAGCTTAACATTTACAGTTTGACATTTCATTTTATAAAAATCTTTTGACATATATATTCAAATATTACTAAGAAAATTATTATAATTTATACTTTTAAAAATTTAAAAAAAAAAATCTGTATTTTTCATTAACTTGCTTCTGTGATCAGGTGAATATTCATTTTTTTAGTTAAATATGTAGTAAACAAAAAATTAAAAAACTCATTTTGCTTTAATAGTAGCTGAGATAATTTAGACTTACTTTCAAAAAACTTTATAATATATTATATTTTAATTAACAAACTTACCCTGGACATGTAATGTTAAAATTTTGATTTAAATGAGTGATTATTAAAATTTTCTCAGTTTTTGGTGGTAATTCAGGTATTATTTGTTGTGAAGAATAAATACCTGCAGAATTATTCACTTTATCAATAATATTTCCTTGGGGATCCAATATTTCAAATACTTCATCATTATGACATTGAATCTACAGTAATAAATTTTACAATAATTAAGTAATTATTTAATGTTTACTGAAATATATTACAGCTATTATATTTTTAATTTAATTTTTAGAAAATAATTTTTTCATTAATAGTTATTATTCTTTTTTTTACCCTACAATATTCTGTTACAACTTTTATTGGATTATTTTTAATTCCATTAAAAATATTTGGATTCAAAAGATTGCTATGACATGGCAACCCAGTATCAAATGCATTCAATAAATTCTCCAAATGTTCATCATTTGTTTTATTAAACATATTTTCATTTGTATTAATTTCTAAAATTAAAATATTATATTATTTGAAAAAGATTTATTCATTTTTGGTTTAGTTTTAAAATATTCTTAGTATGGTTATTAACAAATTCTATTAAAATAATGAATATTTATTTTTAACTACATTAAAATTTGATTTAATTTACGTAAACTGATGTAATTATTATTTTTAATTCCTCGAAAACAGATAATATAAAAAACAAGTTATATTTTTAACTTTTTTTAGATATCATATTATTACGAATCATTTACTTGGTGTAATTGAATCAATTAAACAAAACCCAAACTTAGTTCTAATCCCTATTTCATCACATGTGCTACATGTTGTCCATTCTGTCCATTCTGTCCACATTTTTAATCTCAAATCAATTAATATTTTTGTATCACTTATCTTTGTATTGATCTTAGTGATATTTGTCTTAATATTTAATCAAAATATTATTACAAATACTTATTTATTTAAACCTTGAAGCACATACCTCAAGAAATGGTTCAATATCCTCGTTGAATAATTCAATAATAAATGGTCTAGATTCAGAACTGGAAATTATGCATTGATAAAAACCACTTTTAGATTCATCAATATTAATTATAGTTAATGATAAGTCAATTGGTGAAATTCTATAGTAATCATTTTCTTTTAGTAATCTTAAACTTCTATTTTTTTCAAGTATTGAATAAAACCATACATTTTTGTTAGTAAGTCCTTTAGGAGAAATACAAAGTTCACATTCTAATCTAATACCACAATAAATTCACAATATATATATATTCAAAATTTTGATAAGAATAACTATACTTCAGTGAAAAACTTTTAAATGTTTTAATAACCTTGGCTGCAAATACATGTTTACTATTTGTATGGAAACTTTGGTCATTCAGACATTTATAATACAAATCCCAAAGTATTCTGTTCTGTTCTAATTTAGCCTGATCAAATCCAGGATAATCCAAATAAGATCCTGGTTTTGGCCCTACTTGAGTTATACCGCGTGGTTGTTTCCAATTTTTTTCTAATATATTTTTAGTTTCTTTTTTAATGTCATTCCATCTAGATTTTGTTATGGAAAATGTTTTGTTTATTAAACATCCAAGAATAATTAGTTTAACAATTAATTTTAAAACAAAAATGTCAGATAAATACATTTGTTTTAAATATTTCAAATAGTTTATTGAAATAAGTATTAAGTTGTCAACAAACAATCTATGATCACTAACATATAAATTATTTTTGTTTGATATCTAAAATTAAATATTAATATGTTAGTATTTATAAATTAGTAAATTAAAAAAATTTAATACAAAATTTGAAACCATTATTGTGAAAAAAATGATTTTACTAAGCTAAAATCATCTATATTAAATAAATTACTAATTTTTTTCTAAATATTTTTATGACATCTAAAATTAATACTTTATAAAAAAAAAAAAATTATTTTCATTATTTTTGTAATTGATAGTGACTATTTGTATTTAATATATAAATTAAATACCTATATAATAATTTATGTATTTATTGAATGATTATAATTTAAGAAACAAAATTTAATAGCAGCTTTAGTCAGTATTAAATAAACATTATTTGTTGGTCAACATTTATAACTGTATAATAACTTAATTTTTTTATATTTAAAAATTAAGGGTAATGAAATGTCTCAAATATATTCGAACCCCGAATTAAATATGATTCAAAAAGATATTGATGAATTAGTTAAAGAAAGATTAACTTTAGAAACTGAAATTACTCAAAAGGATGCTGACTTAAAAATTCGTCTTGGTGAAGTCAAAAGTTTACAGGTAATATAATTTGTGTTATGTTAATAAATTAAATTGAGTTTTTTTTGGAAATGAAATTTTTATTTCACCTAATAATACAAGTAGAATTATACTTGTAGAAAATTTTTATTTTTTTTTTTATTATATGAAATTATTTCCCTGCAAAAATATATATATTAGTATTACACTTTTATAACATAATATACTATTTATTTTTTATTATCTTAAACAAGTTTAAAATAGTTAGATATCAGATATGATTGCATGCCTTGTACTATTCTGAGTCACTAAAAATTAATTATCTTTTAATTTAAAATTTATATATATTTATACTGAACTATTTTTAAAGTAATGGAGTGGTTTTTAAAGAATTGAAGAGCTTTATTCAAAATAAAGTAAACTAAATTTTTTTCAAAATCTGATTCATTGTACTCATATTTTTAATCTTAATTAGTAAGATTAAAATAATGAACATATCTATCCAATAAAAAATAGTTACATTAATTAATTTGAAAATTATTGCTTTTTTATCTCATAGGAAAGATAATGTAAAAATATCTATTTTTCAGCCTCCTAAAAAGTATTTGAATAATAAAGTTGAGTTATTTTGTTTTTTACACGGAGCCCTTTGATTACTTTGAATACTTTTCTTAGTTAAATGTAACATTATTAATTGAGTTGATATATTTTTTAATTATAGAGTGAACTTGATACCTTATCTGCCACCTTGAAACAACTTGAAAATCAAAAAGGTGAAGCTCAAAAACGGCTAAATGATCTTAGAAATCAGGTAATTATATATTTATATTATCTAGTTATATAATTTTAATTTAAATCATTTTTTTAAATTTGGATGTATGTATTTTTGCATGAACTTGATTTGTTGTCTGAAATTTATTAACTTTTGTAATTTATGAAATAGTTTATTAATTTATTAATATTTCTATAATTTTGTAGTAATATGATATTGTAGTTGTTTATAATTTATTAATATTACACTTTTTGCTTTAAAGTTTTATTTAATTTTTTTAACCCGCATGTGCATATTTTCACCATTTTAGACTGAGTTGGTAGAAAGTCAGATTAAAGACATCAATCGAAAAGTAAAAGATGAACAAGTACAGGTATTTTAACCATTCCTTTGTAGTTTTTTCTTTGAAATATCTAGTTAATTATATATTTTTTTATTACATTTATTCTATATATAGAGTGAGTCAGCAAGTTCTGACAAGTAAAATAAATTGATCTATACATATATTTTTCTTTTATATATACAGGTGATTTTTTTTATCATAATCCACTAAATAACTTACAGAATAAAAATAATTTAAACAATTGTTTTTTTTTTTGGTTATCTTTAGTTACACATTATTCTTAAATTATTAACCATGTGATTATTTTTAAGTTCATCCCTTGTGCCTTGTAAGGGTGTCAACTTTGTTTTTTAAATGGGAACACATATTTTGAATTAAATAAAATGTTTGAGTTTTTAATTTAATAGTAAATAGCATTTGAATTTTTAGTATAACTATATTCGTTCATTAGAAATAAACATTTAAAGTTTCAAATTTTTGAGTTAATATACATCTATAATACAAAAGGGATTACAAATACAGGTAGTTAATTGGTTTTTTATGATGTTGATATTCGTATGTACACTGCATTTATTATCAATGGTAGTAAGACACATTGTTATGAGTTAATAAATACACTAACTGGAAATACAGAATGTATATTTATTGATAGCCATATTTGACAATAAATACTATGTGACTGTGACCCTGTATTTACTTTTCCAAACTATGGTTTTGACATTACTAATTCGTCAGGCAATTTTTCATAATATTGGAAAACTATGCAAGGTTCCAAAAATGATTGGACCACTTAATAATAATTTTCTAACAAAGATGAACAAATATTGTTTAGCAACTGACATTTAGTCATAGAGGGCTATAATAATTTATCGTAAAATATGTTTTATAATGTAAAGTAGCATGCCCTCTTTTTTTAACAATACTATAACCATTGATAATATATATTTGGTTAATAAAGTGTTTCTGTATAAGGACATTTATCTTAATTATTATCTTCTGATAAAAATTAAAAATTATTTAGTACACCAATAGAAATTTTTTTGTTTTATTTTATTTATTTTTAAAGTATTATTTCCTCCTTTTGTATAATATCTATAATGAATTGTTTGCAATAGCAATAAGTTGAATTTTTAATTAAAATTAGGGTTTAACACAAAATTTTATATAAATTTTTTTTAATAAGAAAAAAAACATATTTAATTACTCCTTTATTTATTACAATTCAATAAATTGAATTAATTTATGAAATACTTTATTTTATTTTAAACTTGGACCCTTATTTTAATATAAATTTTCAGAATGAAATTTTTTTATAAAATGTTTATACTTTATAAAATATTTACTTTTGTATGCATTCTAAGTCAACAATTTAACATAATATCAACTAAAAAAAATTAATATTAATGATAAAAACTGATGCATTTTGAAGAAAAAACAATTGGACTCTTGTTTCAATAAGTACTTTAATGTTATAAAAAGTTAAAAAAATTAGAAAAATTTAATCGTTTTAATTGCATGAGTTGTTAACTAATTGCTATTAAATCTTTTAGGTTTAGTTAGAATTTATATTAACTTCCATATTTTTTCATTAATGTGATTATTATATTTTATATTAATATCCAATAAAAAGTAGTTCTCTGTTTTAATCCTTTTATGTTTAATGATTTTTTTATAGGTAGACAGTCTTCGTAAACAATCTGAAGACCAAGAAAATTTATTAAAAAGTCAGGAATCAGAACTTGCTTCTAAAAAACAAGAACTCGATGAATTAAAATCACAAGAACATAAACTTGAAAACGAACAAACTGAAATGAGCTTAAAATTAGAAAAAATGAATAAATTATTACAAAACTCACAATTACAAATTAGTCAAGTAATTTGTATTTGATACTTAATTTTTAATTTGATAATTATACATATTAATTAGTAATAAATATTAATTAATAGATAAAAAATAAAGTAAACCAAATAGAAGAAAATAAATATCAAATGGAAAATATTATTGAATCTACTGAAAAAGCATTAGCTGAAGGAAATCTATATGCCATACCAGACTCTTTATTATCATTGAACTTAGAATTTCGTGATATAGAATGTAGTAAATTGCTTGGAAAAATTGTATGTTCATGTATATTTATTATTAATTAACTTTACATTACTAAATTATATTATGTTCAAGGATGATGATAAAAATATGTTCGAAAATGTGAATGGTTTTACTTCTGCAGATCAATCTAATAACTCTTTTAAAACTGGTAAAATATACATTTGTTATTAATTTTCTAAGGTTTTAAAAATCATGTGATAGAAAATAAAACTATGCACTGAAATATTTTTTAGTTTAATTTTAAAGACAAATAATTAATAATTTTGTCAATTTTTCAGATTTGTTTGCAAATAATGATGCTTTCTCTGCAAACAATAAATCGGTAATTAAGATAAAACAGTTATTTTTTTTTTTTTTTTATTTTTTTTTAATATTATACATAAATATTTTTAGGATGATTTTTCGCATGATCCATTTACTTCATTTGATGACTCCCGAGCTAGAAGTAAGTTTTTATAAATGAACATGAATATTTTAAAAAATGTATTCAGTACACTGAATTTATTTTTTGTTTACAAATTAATGAAAAATTATTATATAATAAATAATCTATTTTAATGATAATTTATGATATTTCAACTATTATTTATTCAACTTATATATTTTTTTAATTTTAAATTTTAGGTCAAAGTACTGATCCATTTGGAGGCGATTCAAATACATCAAAATTGTCTAATGTAAGTTGTTTTTATTTTAAAAACAAATTTTTTTTTAACACAATCATATTGAAATATTTTATAATAGTGATTTTAATCACTGTTACAGTTTTTACCAAAATTTAAACTAAACGTTACAAATTAAATTAATTTATTATTTCTCATTTGAAAAATAGATTTAAACTTAAGATTAGATAAATAAAAAACCCATTGATTATTACTAACACGATACCAATTTTTGCTGCTAATAATTAAAAATATATATAATTCATGAGGATGATATAATTTAATGATAACATAAATTTTTTTTTGTAAATGTGGTGGTCTATAGAAAATATGTTGGTACTCAATTAAATATTAATAAGGGATCCTCAACTTTGTTTATATCGAAACACAAATCTAATCTGTTTATTTATATAACCAATATATTAATGTATTTAATGATTAACCTATTTTATAGAGACAAGAAGATAAAGATGCTTTTGGTTGTGATCCATTTGCTATTTTACATGCTCCTACTCGACCCAGTTCTGCTCCCCCTCAACAAAGACCTGAGAGTCCAACCCCAGCATTACCTCCAAAAAAAGGTAAACAACCACCACCAAGGCCAGCACCACCAAGGCCAGCTCCATACACCCCTTCATCACAAACAAATTCGTCAACTATTTCTGAGTTTGCTGATTTTTCAAACTTCAACAGCAAGGTAATTTATAAAATATGACTTTTAATTTTTCAATATATCTTACTAAAATAAACAGGTGTAAAATAATTTAGATTGGGTGAAATTCTTAGTTAGGATTTCATTTGTCATTCAAGTAAACAATAAAAAATAAATAAAGAAATATTAACTGAATTAGTGAAATTATTTTTAAAATACAATTTTTACCTTTAATCCTAAAAATTATTATTTTAAGAAATTTTTTTTATTTGACCAATAATTAATCTATTGTTATTTATTTCTATGTCTTAATTATATTCTTAATTTGTGTGAAATTATATGAAGAGTGAATGTGTCAAACGTTCTATGTGCCAAAAAAGTGAAAAATTGTTTTATTTCTGATTTATGTTCTATGTGCCAAAGGCCACAATCTTGTATGTGTTTCAAATGTCAATTAAATTTTTTACTTGTACAAAATTGCATTCATAGATGGTGTTCGATATGTGAGACATGCCCATGTTACCATTGTTTTTTGTGTTTTCTGAACAAATATGTTTTTGGCACATAGAACGTTTGACACATTCACTCTTCATATAATGTCCATTTTAAGTGTTATTTATTGTTCCTCCATTATAGCAACATAAATTTAAGATTATAATAATTATTATTATAAAAAAAGAATTTTTAAGATGCATACAAATTAAAAATTCCTTGTTCTTATTTATGAAAATGGGCATTGTTTCATTAACTTCAACCACATTAAATTTTATTAAATAAACTAATAACTTATTTTTCCTTTTCCTTTTCCTTTTTTTTTTTTTTTTAGAAATAATTATTCTTTATTTTATCATTTATTTATTTTTATTTTGTTCATTTTATTTTATTTTATTTCAAAACAAATTTATTTTAATTTTAATTTTTTATTTTTATATTTTATTTTTTTCCCATCCCTTAGTTTTTACAGAGCACAAAAACAGAAGCAAAAATTCAATTACAATCAAATAGTTTTGAATTTACTGAAGACCCATTTAAGGACTATAGATATGAGGATCCTTTTAAGATTGATCCATTTTCGGATACTGGATTTGAAACTGATCCATTTGGAGATGGAGCATTTTCTTCAGATGACTGTCAAAAAATTAGAATAAGTGATGAACAATTTGCATGGGAAGCACAAAAAAAGTTTAGAATAGAAGAAGAAAAAGCAAGGTTAGAACAAGAGAAAGCAGACTTTGAACTGGCATTAAGATTAAGTAAAGCCACAACAACTAACAATAGATCAAAAATATTATTATAGCTGAATTATATATATATATATGAACATCTACCAAAAATATATTCTGTATTATTATATGTTTATTATACAATACTCCTATGGATTTTTTATAACCATTTTATCTTTATTATTATTTTTATATAAACAGTATATCAGTTGATTATTTTTTTATAATTATTTTTTTGTTCTATTTAGCTGTAAATGGTTTTTCTTATGTATCACTATAGAAGTATTGAAAATGTTTAATCTTCATTAGTCATAATTATTAATATATGTTGATTTATTTTTGTGCCTACAATAACAACAGGACACAAGCAATAAGTATATAATAACTATGGTAAATAGTAATTTTAACTTTGTACAGAATCAAGCTTTAAGTTTTCATTTAATGGCCAAAGTGAACTTTTAACCTATGGTATACTAAAAAAAAATGTTAGTGGTTAAATGTTATCCTACTTTAAAATTAGTTTTAAAAAAGCACAATGTTATTATAGTAGTATTCAAAAAAGCTTTTACATAACATAGTTCTGAGTTTATGGCCTATCAATTTTATAGGTCAAGCACATTTTTATTTATTTTTATTAATATTACTAAATTTTGTTAATTGTTAACTACTGTTAAAAATTATTTGTTCACTAATGATATTTAAATTAAATTATGATAAATAAAATGAATAAATTGTACAAATTTTCAATTAAATTGTAAATTTTAAGTATGAATTGAATATCACATTGTTTATTATACTTATTTTCCTCTTTAAGTTGAAATATTGTGTCATAATTTTTTTGCCATCTGTTAATCATAACTAAAATATCTATTCTAAATGTTTCCTTATTGGTATTAAATTACTCAGTTATTAATTTATAATATTAATATTCTTAATGTATAATGATAAAATATTTAAAATGTTTCCTTAATATATCTGAATTATATTTTAAATCTAAGTTTTTATTGTTATCAAAAAATGCACTAACCTTTAAATCTACTACTACAAATTCTTCATCTATTCCTACAGTAAGTTAGGTTAAGAATTTAATTTAAAATATCTTTATAAAATAATGAAATGGACTAGTTAATGTAATGGATATATATTATTGAATAATCGTCAGAGCTGTATTTAAGATATTATTGTTAGATGGCTAAACTATTTTTTTAGGGTCGCTCTTTATATAATATCCATGTGCAATTAGTCTTCAACATTTTTTAATTAACTTATAGTGTAAAATGTTTTTATTTCTTATCAATGTCCGTATTCAAATCAAAGTTATCAATTACTTCAACCTTTCAGTAAATTAAGTAAAACTCAAATTAGAAAAATCTTCTATGATAAGACCTTTTGTTGTTATTATTTAAGCTAATAGTGAATTATTTTCAAAGGAAAACTACCTAGATTAAAATTAAATATTTTAATCAACTGAATGTAAACAATATTTGTAGGTTTTTTTCCATGACATTGAGATTTGCCCCGAAGGAATTTTAGGGGAGCTATTGTAAATTCAAGCCACTCCATAAATACGGCCCTGATTATAGTATTAAATTCAAGTTTTATTTTTGACTGTACTTAAATAATATTTTGTCTTGTCATGGTTTTATAAACCGCTATTAATAATTTTTTTTTTATGTATAAATATAATGTAAAAACACTTATATTTGTAACTAAATTTCAAAACAATATTATCATGTTGAACATGAGAAAATGATCTATTTAGAGTGTTAACAAGATGACACTTAACTTATATGTTCTAATGACATTGTATTACTATAAATATGTGTAACAGTTATAAACCTTCTCAAACAGAAATTTTTGTTAAGTATTAGCAATGGACGAAGTATTGCACCAGTACTGGCAACTGACCATTTATTATCACGTAATACAGTAGTATACTCTTTAGTATGGGATAGCAAACCAGTATACTGGCTTGCGTCTCTTCTAAGTACTGAGCCAGTATTGACTGACAATTACTGGCAGAATACTGATCATACAAAACCTCCAGTACAGATCTGTTAGTATTGGTCCAGTACTGGTAGCAACCACCAAACCCAACCCAACCAGAACTGCCAGCACTGTTGTAGCACTGCGCCTCTTGTTAATTTCTGATAGGACCTTTGTTCGTTGTTTAATTGAGTCCGACTTTCAAAATAATTATTTTAGCTAATATATTGTGAAAAATTTAGTATGTACTTACTTCTATGCCATGTTATTTTTCATCTAATATAATAGTATGTATGATACTAAAATAATAAAGTACCATCATCATACACAGTTTACTCAATATTGAGAAATAAATAAAATTTTAATTATAAAACATTTATTATTTGTTTTTAGTTCTTAAATATTTTGGTAATTATTCTTTGTTTCATTATTTAACATTTAACTGAAATTTAAGCTTTGAAGTTAATTCTGAATTTCACAATAATACTAATCTTAGTGAATTTAAAAGACTGAGAGATTTCTTTTTAAAGTTGTTATTGAAACATCAAAATTTATTCTAAAAAAAGAAATAAAATATAGCTATTTTAAAATTTCAAAACAATAAATATTATTATTTTTTTTTATCAGTAAACATAAATACATTTTTAACGTAATTGAAAACTGTACAAATTATAAAAAAGTAATGGAAAATATACATTGGATCAGAAGTTATTAAAACTTGATGGTACACCTTTATAGTTTTGGAAATTCAATTTTTAAATTAAATAATTATAAAACTTTATCTTAATATGCATTTGCGTAAATAGGCAGACACGAATCTAGAAAAAACATTTTAGGGGGTGACACTGCACCTACAGAATAGGAAACCGAAAAAATTGTGTTTTTACCAGTACAATAAGTTAAGCTTCGATGCAAAACTGAGAAGGTATTAATTTTACTATAATGTGTTTTTTTATGTCTGTTACCACATTTTCTCATTTTCTTTTTAAATTGGAACATTTTCCAATATAAATGGGGGTTAAAACTTTAAACACTTATAGAAAGCAGAAATTTTTTAATTTAACTTTTAAAAAAGTTTCAGAAATATTGATATTTATATATATTGTGTTCAGTAGTAAGGAAACAGGTCAGTTGCTATAAACAGTAGAATTTCCTTATTTACTGAACACTGTTTACCTTAAATTAAAGCTTATGTCATATAATTTAATTGGAAAAAAATTGACCTCTGGACTTGTCTTTGTGGTGAAAACGGACATTAATATTAAAGAAAAAAGTACGATTTTTGTGTAAAAATTGAAAAATTAAAAAAAAAATGAATAAATTGTCGTACTTAAACTTATTTGAAAGTGTTTATTGGAAATTTGTGTCAACTGTATTGGGGTATTAAGAAAAAGTACCAATCCCCTTAATTTATTATTCCAACATTTTTATTTTGACTTTAAATTTATATAACTTTCAAAAATATATTTAAAAAGAAATTTTCACGAAAAAAAATATGGGTAAATATTTATTATGCTACATATTTTCTTCCATCAATCTTACAAAAATTCAATATAAAATTCTTTTTGTACGTATTTTTTTTAATTTCAATTATACACCGTTATTACTTTTAAAAAAATATACAACTAAGTAAATTTTTTATTTTAAAATACCATACAAGAAGTGTATTCTGAATTTCACAAAAGTTATATAAATTTAAATGACAGAAAATAATGTTAGATTTATTTAAAATTTTTTGCTTCTTGTAAATCGATAAAAACGACTGAAATTTTGAACTGGCTTAGATTGCACTTTTTTTCTACTGACAAATGCGATGTACGATTACTGCGTCAGTAACATTTATTTCTTCTTCCCAATGGAGTACGAGGGTCAAACCCCGTCCGTCAACATATTTTCTTAATTCTTTTTAAGTTTGATAAAAATTTAAATATTTTTTGATTTTTATCTCATTTAGATTGAATAACTTCATTGAATATCAAGGACGATACCATAGGTTTCAACTACAAAATTAAATAATTACACTTTGTTCATTTTTAATTTATTTATATGACAAATAAATTAAAATTATATGTATATTATATGTATGCGCTGGAACTATTTTTTACTCGAGGGAGAAAAATTTAATTACTAAAGCTCGGTCCCCTTGATTGTTACTAAGCTAAAAAGCAGGTTATGCTATTTTTTGGTGGATTTTAGTAATCATATAAAAAAATTCGGTAATTTATAAATTTTACTCTTAATAATATATATTATTAGCTAGATTCGATGCGAAGCTGAGAAGATATTAATTTTATTATAATTTGTTTATTTATTTATGTCAAAAGATCACAAATCTTATCTAGTTGATGACATTACCCTCAAAAATTGAAAATTTGTCTCTCGTTCCCCGTAAATGTTAAGAATCTTGCAAAAAATTACGATTTTTAAAATCTGTAAATTTCAACATTTTTTTCTAAAAATTGTCATAACTTATTGAAAAATAAACAAATCAAAATAATTTTTTTATATTGATAGCTTAAGTAATTTTCTGTTATTTAATAAAATTTTTTTGAAATTCTAACCCTTTAACTGACCACAGGGTGATTTAAAATAGCAACTTTTTTTTAAAACTCAACTTTTTCATCTTAAGTTTTAAAAATGTTTCGGAAACATTGCATTTTTAAAACATATGTAAAATTTAAGCTTACGTTACGATTATAAATTAAAAAAAAAATTGTCTCGACGACCTCCATCTTCTTTATACAAATGGCTACCTCAGTTAAAAAACATGCTAATTTTGTGTTCAATTAAAAATTTTTTTTTTTATGTTTATTTTAAAATACGTTATAAGGGTATGCTATAGTAATGAGTCCACCAATAAATATAACATTTACATGAATTTAAATTACATTAATTAAAAATTTATACATATTTTGATAATTTTGCATCTTCAAAGTTAAGAAAAAAATTTTAAAAACTTGAAAATTTGTATAAAATGTATAACATTTTCAACTTAGTTTTTGAAAATCTGTAACTTTTAAATAAATATTAAAAAACAGTAGCACAGTGAGGTCGCGGCACAATATGGATGTGGCATATTTGGGAAAAGTATAGATGGTATCTGACAGTGATTAAAATCACTATCATAAGAAACTCTTCCATGCAAATCTGTATATAGTGTTTAATTCTAAGAAATTGGTGGATAATTATAAAAACAATATCAACTCCTATTTCCTTAATCATATCCTGATTAGTAATTCTTAGATTCAAAAATATTATAATTTTATAATTATAATCAATATTGATTTTGATTTTTAATATGTTAAAAGTAATCATTTTTAATCTTTTTTTTGTCCTTTAAAGTGAAAGTTTATAATAAAAAAAGAAATGAATTTATTACCATAATTTTTAGCTCAACTTGCAAGTTTGAAATTGATATCATTAAATAGAAAATAATGAAAAATAGATTAATAAGCAGTCAGGAAATTTTAAAATTACTATTTACAGTAAATTTATCAGAGAAGCTCGATTTTTTTTGCATTTATATATAATAGATCACTTAAATAAAAATCAAAATTATCATTTCTTATTAACTTTTGCCGTTTAAAAAGATTCAACAACTGAAATATTCAGAAATTAATTAATCTTAGTGATTTACTTTAACTAAAAGAAGCTATAAAAAAGTTGTCAACAAAATTTACTCAAGTGAGTGTATTATTATAAAATTTGATTACAATAGTAAAAATCTATTGTTAAATTCAAGTGAAACTAATAATCATTTTTTTTTAGAATTGATTTATATAGCCACATGTTACCAAAAAAAATTGGAATATTATAGACTGGTAGTACACACAAATAGAGTTAAAAAATTAATAAATTACAAAGTAAAATTATTTACTTTTGTAGTTGAATACTTTTATCATAACAAATCTAATTCGAAATAAATACTTCTAACGAGGGGACACTACAGCCAGGCACGTAGACAAGGGTGGGCCTGGCCCCCCTTAAATTTAATGTGGCCCAGAGCCGGCCCCCCAAATTTAAAATTCAATTATTTTTACGAATTATTAAAAACGTGCTAGGCCTTATATACATTGAAATTATTATTAATTTGTGATTACTATTGAGTAATACAGTTATTATTATGGCTGTATTTTAGCTTCGATGCGAAGCTGAGAAGGTATTGGTTTTACTAAGATGTGTTTTTTTTTTTTTT